GAATCATACTATATTTTGTTTTCTACTTTACTACCTTAAAAACCATTTAAGCTTTTCTAAGGACTGCATCTATGACAATATTATCATTTAGCCATTCTTCTTCTGTTTACTATTTAACATTATTATGAATAATAGTACAATAAACATCTTTATATCAGATTTTTAAAAACTGTCTCTCTGGTTATTTTCTTAGGCTGTTTCCTGATGGGGATGTACCTCTGCCCAGTGTGTGTGTGGGGGGGCGCAGTGTTATTTATATCCATAACACACATACAACTCTGTCCTTTCTTAACGTACACTGTCCATTTGCTGTCCGGGAAGCTTTCTCTCAACCAACAGCTCACTGGCAATATCCAAGAGGGCTCATTTCAGCGCTTTCTCTACACGATGCTGTCTTGATGTGGAATCTTTAGCACTGAGTTTTATAGCCAACAAGTTGCTGGGAAAGGTAATTAACATTTTTAAGTCTCAATTTCTTCAACTGCAAAAGCAGATGAATGCCCTTGTGAAGAACTGAGGTAAAAATTAAACGAGTTAACACACAAGTGATTTGAGAGAATCCTGTGCTGTTTTCACACTTTCTAGGATGAAATGCAGCCCCTGTGTGGTGTGGTGAGGGTGATGAAGGTGATTAAGAGCTGAGCGACTCTGAGAGCCGAGTGGCCTGTGGTGTTCGGATGATGCTCCAGAGAGACCATCAGATATGTTCCTACTGAAGTCCTTTCAAGGATTTAGGGGATCACCATCCTGCCTGGGAGAAGAGAGTTGTGGGTGGAACACAATGTGTTTTAAAATATGTTCAGGCTGGGCACAATGGTGCACACCTGTAATCCCAGTAGTCAAGAGGCTGAGGCAGGAGGATCGAAAGTTCAAGGCTAGCCTCAGCAGTTTAGCCAGACCTTGTTGCAAAATAAAAAATAAAATGTGCTGGGATGTAGCTCAGTGGTTAAGCATCTCTGGGTTCAATCCCTGGTACAAAAAAAAAATTAATATTAACATCCCAAACCACAGCCCACTGAACCTATTAAGTTAAAATTACTGGGAAGACTTAGTAGGATAAACCTGTGAGTGAAAATTTAGCTCTAGTATTCTGACAGTGATTTCTACCATCTCAATTACAATAGTGAGCCACATTTATATACTGAGCCACATTTCTGATGTTTCCTCTCTCTCTTACCAAAACTGCTTGACTTTCTAGAAAGTGCCGACTTCTGTGTCCTTCTAGAAGGCCAGCTATGGTTCTGTGCAGGGACAGGCAGTTCTCCAAGGTGAGTCTTGATGGGCTCAGTTCCTACCAACAGGGTGGCCTGCGATCTAAGGGCTTAGAAGGCTCTGGCTGAGTTTGTGCAAGAAGATCTAAGTTTATGCAAACAGCAGAGAACATCAAGATCAGCCATTGATTGAGCATCTTGTTGGTCCCAGTCCCATAGGTAACAGGAAGATGAATATGCACAGAATGTAGCTGCTTGCAGCCTAGGAGCAATAAGGCACGCACTAAAGATGACTCAGAAGCAAAGGCGAGTGTTCCCATCCAGAGTGGCTGGATCTGTACTTGGAAGCTGCAGAGGACTGAGGCAGAGGGCCAGGCAGGAGGAGGGAGCAGAGGCACAGGCCTGTGGAAGAAGGAGAGCTGCTGCTTGCCAGGCTCCTGTGAGCATCCTGGGGGTGCTGGGGGGCCAGGAGAATAAGAGGAGAGGAGACCATGTCAGAGACTGGGAGTTTGGCAGAAACCAAGTAGTGCAGGAG